ATAATATAATGCAACCACACTTTTAAGTATCTCATCAAAATAGGCAACCTACGTTAATTGGGATAAAAAAAAATACTTTCTAAGTTACGTTTTCAAATTTTTCTTTGTTTTGTGATTGTTCATTAGAATGAAAAGACTATATATTTCAGAATTTGAATCCAGCAAATCCCCTAACATAAATTTTGAAGGTTGTTGTATCGTATTACTATACAATCGTTGCATGAAATCACTGCCCAATGACTCAGATTCAATCTGGACCGATCCAATGATCACGATTGTATTTCGTATTTGAATTTTAATTTTTTTTCTATAAATCCAAATCACTTGAAATTTTCGACGTGTGTTTTTTAAAAATAGGAGAATCCAATAAAAAATATTAAAAAAAACATTCGTGAGAAATAAATTGACCAAAATACCCCCAAAACCTTTCAAGGGTATTTTAGTCAATTTATATCTTGCGAAGAATAGACACCTAATAAAAAAATTAAAAAATAATTCACAAAAATTAAATTGACCAAAATACCCCTAAATTTTTTAGAGGCATTTGATCGAGTTATTTTTTTATGAATTTTTTTAATATTTGTATTGATTATCTTATTTTTAAATAATAGACCCTTAAAATTTAAGAAGATTTAGAATTATAGAAAAAAAATTAAAATTAAAATACAAAATGTAATTATGACCATTGGATCGGCCCAATTCATTATGGGCTATTAGGATTCACTGTAGCTGTCAGTTAGTGGACTAACTTACAAAACACGGTTTATGGAAGCACCATTGAGACTCCTGTCACACCCATTAGCCAGTGTCAAATACTTAGAGTAAAAGGGCAGTGAATAAATAAATGTGCACTTGATTCACCATCTTGTTTGCATAGCAAACAAACATTGGGTAAAATCTTTCCCCTTTTAATTAAAATATCAATGATCAAAACTTTATCCTGTGCAACTAACCAAATAAAAACTTAGACTTTTTAGGGAATTGGCCATTTCCAAATTTGAACAATGTTAAGCCAAGACCATCTTTATCGATCATGGAAAAACATATTATAACAAGATTTAACAGAAAACATACCATCACTTTCAATCTCGCATACCAACACATCTTCCGCATCCAGCGAAATATAGAATTTATCCAAGAGTTCCATCAATGCACACCATTGAGAC